GGTAGTTCCATGGTGTCAAAGTATCATCACCCTACACAGTAGTTATAAATTCCAAAGTGAAAATTGCACCTAGACCTTGGAGACTGAAGTGGGCATCACTTTACTAAAGTGATAACATTTTTAATATAATGATGAGACAATCTGAATTATGTACCTTCTCAGCAATGAAATATGAAGTCCTCAACCTCATGCATGGAGTATTCTTCCAAATGTTTTCTCAGTCTAATCAAGCCTTCAGCCTTAATTTTAAGTTTACAGGAAATAAAGAGAAGTAGTCAAACACCACCATGAGGAAATAATCCAGAATGTGGTATATTGTACAAGAAAACTGACCTTTTCTCTTCAAAGTCAATATCATAAAAAATAATCTTTTTTGATTAAAAGAAACTAGAAAGATATTACAATCAAATAGAATGCCTGAAACTTTGTTGAATCTGGATTTTTTTTAAAGTACAAAACATTTTTCAAATGATTAAGCATGTTTAAATATGAACTAGATAATAGGTGCTGTTATGAAATGGCTATTTTTTAAGTTTGATGATACTGTGATTTTACAGAAGAATGTCCTTATTCTTAGAGTATGCATGCTGAAGTATTTAGGGGCAGAGAATGTGTCTGCTTACTCTATATGGCAGGGTAACCAATCAAAAACAAATGCAAAATGGTTTATCAAATATGGCAAAAATGTTAATGAGTTGTTTCTATTCTTTTAACTTTGGTGAAAAATTTTTCAAATGAAACATAATAAACTGCATAAGCTAGTAGTATAAAAAATACAAGCGTGTTTCTATATTTGAAATTGATCAGTGTGTTTTTTTTAACCCCTTATGAACTAAGGAGTAAAAGTAATTTTTTTCAGCAATTATTTTGTAGTCCTCAGTGGACATCTTTTCTCCTTAAAGTGTATTTCTTAGTGTTATATGCTATTTTTTGATGCTATTATAATTTCTTAAATTTTTTATCAGTTCATTACTTGTATATAGAAATACAACTGATTTTGTGATTTTTATATTCTGCAAATTTGCTGAATTTGTGAGTTAGCTCTAAGTTTTATGAAGGATTTAGAGATTTCTATATGTAATAGCATATCTTGTGTAGTTTTACTTATGCTTTTGCAGTTTAAATGACCTTTATTTCTTTTTCTTGCCTAACTTCTCTGAAGAAAGATCACATGTTTAAAGCTCAGTTAACCTCATACTAAAGAGATGAAAGGCTGAAACATTTTTTCCTGAAGTCAGGAACATGTGACCTTTATCATGTTGAAGTTGTTCCTGTCTACTCTTTGTTTATTGATGTTTTCATCATGAAACGATACTGGATTTTGTTAAATGCTTTTTTTGCATCAAAATTTTTAAAATTCTATTAATGAATATTCATTCTATTGATGGGCATCACATAAAATTAAACCCAGAGGAGAGAAAGAACACACACACAAAAAAAAAGGAAATAAAAAATGAGAGTAATGAAAACTTATCTCAATTCATTTCTATCAATCACTTTAAACATCAATGATCTAAATATACCAATATATCAAGAGAATGAGTAGACAAGCCAAACCTGGAAAAATGTTTGCAAAAGGCTCATCTGAGGGCAGGCCGAGTGGCACATTGGTTAAGAGCTGGCTTGGGATGCCAGAGGGCCCCGGTTTGGATCCCACATATGAGGGCCAGTGACACTGCCCTCCACAGCTAANAGATTGCAAGCAGGATAGTTAAATGAAGGGGAAAGCTCAAGATTATTTATTTGTCATTCGGGACATTTTGGAGGAAATTGCTACTGGAGGTACTAAACAAAGTGCTCAGTTCCCGCTATAAGCCCTTCATAATTTTCCAGGGTTCCTGTCTGATAATGGTACAGGTTCTTCCTTTTCCACACTTTACTCCTGTCTACTAGGAATAATAGTAATAGCTATCATGTAGTAAAAACCTGTTTCCTGCAAGGAGTTTAACAGGCACTCCCTTCCAAAGCAACAACCAGTTTGGTAAGAAACATCACTGTCCTTTTAATAATGAAGGGTAAGGAGCATTCTACTTTCTGATAGCTGTTAAGTGGTGAAACCACAATTTGGCCACTGATGTTTCATTCCACAATCAATATTCTCTCCACTGTGCCTTTAAAATTCAGGGAGGCTGAAGAAGAGAGGCATGGGAGATCCTAATCTTCAACAGTGAGGATGGAAAGGTTCTTGAGATGTCTCAATGACACGCCTTTATATACACTGAGTAGGCAATTCTACATTTCATGACCTTGTACACCATTGTCCAATTTGAAGAGCTAGTTCAATTTTTAAAAAATAGGTGTAAACCTTAACCCTATGTAAAATGTACTGCTGCTATTTAGAATTTCAGAAAGTACATTTTGCTAACAGGAAAGAGTCTGCAGGCTTTTCAGAAAGCCTCCTTTTTTAAATCTAAAATCACTTTCAAGTAATGTTGGACAGTTTATAATTTTGGCCTTATAGCCACTAATTTTTTATACCAATGATAATAAATAGCAGAAGTGTGTTTTCATCAAGTTGGTATCTCATTCCCTGACTAATACATGCTTAGTATTATAGATTAATATCACAACTCTGAAACCACTCATTTTCATTTAATTCCTTTGTGACACTTTTAAAACACAGACCTCATAGCACTTGGCCCTAAATCTATTTTGCCCTGAGCACCCAACTGAGCACTCTACTGGGATGCTTTCAAATCACATTTGATCTTTCTGTTCCAGTCTCACTGCCAGTTTGGACTCCTTGTAAAACAGACTGATGATTGGACGACTGTACCATTAGCCATCAAAAGCCTGAGTTCAGGATAGCCTCACTTTAATTCTACAAAATATATTGCAGGTCACGCACACTCATATTCCCAAGCTCGTAGAGTCCTAAACATAAGCAATAAAAGTGGAAAGGGTGAGGTTAACTGCTTACTTGTGACTATATCTCCCTTCCCTGTCCTCTTCCCCTTCCCCCACAGAGCTGAGGACAAATATGACAAATTAAGGGAAGCTAGGTTTACAAACATAGGCATGAAATAGAAGCATTTAAAGAAAGTACAATAACTTGAAGCCATTTGTTCTGGTGGAAGAATAGATATCAATATTAACAGAAAAAAAGAGCAAAGTAGTTTGGAGACCACAGCTGAGACAGAAGTAACAATGACATACACTGGCTTCTCTCTCCCTTTGAATGTTCGTGGAGGTGGTGGGAATCCTGCTGGCTTGCCAATAAGCAGAGCTATTGATTTTTATGGTAGCATATACTTATTCTGGGCATTTACATGGCTATCTGACAAAAGAGAGGGAAGAATCTAGGAATTCTTTGTTCAGGACGCCTTCCATTTAGCAGGTACCTTATCAGTCCTGGTCTTCCAGACACAAACCCCAGATAAAATTATGAAATAAAAGTAAGAACTATGAAGGAAGAAAGTTAACAATATTTCATAAGAACCCTGGAAGAGATGAAAAGAATACAAGGGAGAAAATGTACTGAAAAAATGATTGAGAACTTCCCAGAATTAGAGAAGGCAATTCTTACAAGAAAATTTCTAACTTTAAAAAGTATTGATCAGGGCCGGCCGAGTGGCGCGATGGTTAAGAACTGGCTTGGGA